ATGAGACTTTATTAAAGCTTATTTTCTTTCACTTTTAAGGTAATTATTAAAATAATACTTTAAATTTTGCTTTATATGAATTGGAAATAATCTTCCCAGTAACTATAAATACCCTTAAGTGTTTGGCTGAGTGCCATTCTGCACAAGCATGGGGCAAAACTTCATAAGCTTAGAAGCTTCAGAAAGTCATAGGCACAAAAACAGGATTGAAAAAATTCACATTCTTGACAGCCAGAGTAGAAAAAAACCTAATACCCGAGGCATCGGGTATAATCATTAGGAAGGTCCTATCTTGGTTGTGGGGTTAATTTAACACTAAAGTCTTTGAAACTGATCTAACAAAACTTAAAAGTAAACCTGGAAAGTGTCAAACGTATCTCAGGTAACTGCGTGCCAGAGCAAGGTCCAACACTCTTTAAGGAACACAAGAAAAACCAGCACTCACCAAAGTAAAGCTCACATGTAGCAGAGTAGTTCCCAGGGCTTTTGTAGCAAACTACCATGGTGGTTTAAACCACATGGTGGCTTAAAACAAATGAAATTTATTCTCTTACAGTTTGGAGGCCAGAAGTCTGAAATCAAGTCAATCAAAGAGAAAGCATAAAGCAGATGGTAGGAGCCAGATGCCACATTGGCTACAGGCTGGCACAAAAGAGATCCTCAGTGATTATGAGCTCAGCCAAAGCAGTGCTATAAGAGAAAATGCTCAAGAAAATGAGTTTATTCAACCTCACTTGGTTTGCTGAATGACCTGGGACACAATGAATATTGACTATTGGGTTGCATTGTAGGTAAAGGTTCAAGAAATAGTTATACTGAACTCTAATGGTTGGAGTTCACTTGGTACACTGATTTCAAGGATCATTGAGAATTCTTCAGCGGCAACTATAATAATGTTTAATTTCTTGGTAGATAATGCAAAGAAAACTCCACCTAATGTCTTATAAAAGCCTAACAGAATGTTTAAAACACAAAACAGTATCTAATAAGCACTGCTAAATAGACCGAAAGATGTTTCAAAAAACAAAGCTTAGCTGTACAGGGTGGTGCACACCTGTGATCTCAAATCCAGAAGGCTGTGGCAGTAGGATCACTTGAGACCATTCTGAGCAATATATTGAGACTGTGTCTTGAAAAACAAAAACATACAAGCCAAAAAAGATGGAGAGGGAGAAAGAGAGAGCAAGGTTGGAGCCTGGGGGGAAGCTGGCTAATAATTTATTACTTCAGCCACAATTGTATCCAAGCAACTTGAGTTTGAGGAAGAGAAGAAACTCTTTCAAATACTCACAATGGTTTGACTTTAGTATGGTGCAAAAGGGTACCATGAAGCTATTCTGTTTTTCACTTTGAGTATAGTAGTGAATAAGTAACATGAGATATCCAGCTCTATATTTTAAAACAGACTTTGTATTAGATGATTTTGCCCACTTTAAGCTACAATAAGCCATATTCAAGGTATACCAGCATAAGCTGTGATACCTGTTTGATAGATTACATCAAGTGTATTTCCACTTACAAATATTTTAATTTATGGGTTTGTTGGGTTGTAACCCCATCATAAGTCAAAAGAGTATCTACATACAGGTGTAAAAAAGGACATATTATAAAACATCTCATTTTATAGACCTATCATTACCAACATGGACACATTATCTCATGTCCTTAAACTTTTGTTGTAAACAAATTTCATAACTACTTTGTCATCTCAAGATTTGAATCATATTGCTGAAGGTAATCCTGTCCTACGTACAATGCCAACCACTAGGGCTGCCAAATTAAAACAAGCAACTGTGTATAAACTATGATTATCAGAAGAGAGAAGATAAGCGCATGTTGAATAAAAACATAACAGAATGTTCCAACCAGCAGATTCTCCTAAGCCATATATTTTTTGACCTGTGCCTGTAGTATCTTAAAAGAATAGTCACAGCTAAATAGTCAGATTCCACTTCCAGAACATAGACTGTTGACATCTTAAAAACACTGGTTCCTTGTTTTATAACAACTGTGCACTTAAATGTCAGTCAGTGACATTGAAGTCAGTATGCTCCAAGTCTATCTAGACATTTGCAACCATCACCCTCCCGAGGATGCTGATTGTGGAATTTGATGACAAAGACATTGTTTCTGCATGAGGTGAATAGTGTGAAGTAGACTATTGCAAGTTCATAAGGGCTGGAAATGAATACGTGGCAGGTGTTACCCATTTAATGGTCCAACACACGATTGTAGTAAGATCTGATACCATCAGATTATGAAACTATACTTGTCAGGGATTCCATAGCAAAATATCAAAAACTGGTAGCTTAAACAACAGAAATTTAACTTTCTCACAGTTTTAGAGGCTGGAACTCCAAGATCAAGATGCTAACAAGATTGATTTTTCCTGAGGCCTCTTGTGACTTGCCGTTACCTTCTCACTGTGTCCTCATGTAGTCTTTTTCTCTGTGTAATCTGCTCCTAAGTGACTATTTCTCTTCTTAGAAGAACACCAGCCCTATTGATCAGAGCCCTACCCTTCTGACCTCATTTAACTATAATTGCCTCCTTAAAGGCCCTGTCTCCACATATATTCACATTGGTGTTTAGGATTTCAACCCATGAATTTTGGAGGGCAGATTTCAACAACATAATCAGTAGACACTAGATACTATAATAGAAAAAGTATAATGTGGGTCTTCTACCAGGCCTTGTGGGCCCCTATACCTCTAAAGGGATTCTTTCATCAACAGAACCTTGTGTAAAATTCAGTAAAAGTTTTCATACTTCACTTTGATAAGCTCCAAATTGTAGGTAGTTCACACAGTGATAAGCCTAATGTGAGCCTTCCTTAATGATTCTGGTGCTTAAGCTCAATCTCCTCTGCTCTCCTTCCAACAGCTACTAAGAGCTCAGACAGATATGCATACACTGACCTCATATTTGCCTAAGACTCATTAAAGTTGAGCTATTTCGATGTAATAGACCCAGAGTGAAAAGAACAGCTCATCACAGAGTTTCCTGGGACTAGGGTTTGGGGAGCCATGAAAGGAGCACAGTGGGCCTGCAGTAGATCCAGGACAGTTGTTCTACTCAGCAGAGGTGATTTTTTAAGTGCTGTTATCTAAAACTGTGTTTTAAGCTCCTTTCTACTTTGCTGCTTTTTCACCGTGTTTGGTTCTAAACAATGACAGCCTATAAATGTGTTTAGTTTAAAAGAGAAAAAGAGAAGGAAAACTGGGCTGAAGTTCTGATTCTACCACTTAGTAGTTTACTTGACTTTAAATTTTAGCCATCAAATTCCTCATTTGTCAAATGGAAATAAGAACACACGTCTTCACAGAGTTGTCAGGAGGATTCAATAAGGTAACACATAAGCAACTAGCATGGTGCCTAAAATATGGCAGGCATTCAGCACATTTTAATTAACTTCAGTCTCCTGTGATAGTGCCGCGTAGGAGAAAGAAACAGAAGACATTCAGGAAAGGAGGAACAAAGGAAAAAATTAAAGGTTCCACTTTTATATAAGTGATTTAGCATCAGTATACTAACGTTATAAAAGATTTGTAAACCTTAAACAACTTTCTGCATTACATGTTGTAAATTAGGCAGCACATTAGGCATTTGTACCATTTGAATTAAATTATTTCTGCCTTTGTATAGTATATAGTAGCATTCCAAACTTACCCATTAAAATTGCCTTCTGATAGGTTGACCTATATTAGTGAGTGAATTGAAAGATGTCTGAAGCAATTTTATGAATGCTAATAGAATCCCTCTTCTATCTTTTCATGGGCCATATTGAGTCTGAATTCCTTCAATATCTGACCCCTGCTTACTCCCTTAGCGCTAACTTCCCCTGCTCTTCTTGTCTCACCCACCGTATTGAACTGTTCATGGTTTCTCTTTCCTGGACCTCACGCATGCTATAGAATTTGGTTGAGATGTACTTTTCCCTCACTATACCTAGCTAATTCTGAGTGTCCTCTAGTTCTCCTACAAAGCCTAAGTGAAGTACCTCTTCTAGAAGTTATCCTGTTCACCATTATATATTTAGCCCCTAGCATAGCAGCCTTGTTTTAAGATTGCAGTGAACTCAACCCAGTTGCAAAAGATTATAATGATGGTTTTCCATTGTAATTTTAGTTGTTTTAACCTGTACATTTTCAAACCCTATTTAAAGAAAGGGAAACAGTAAAGTGTACTCTTCAGTATATATATTCTGTGTTCTACTGTATACAATGCATCAGATCTAAAATGTATTGAGAGCTCCCTTCCTTAAACTGCTGTGAGGGATTTTTTTTTTAAATGACTGTGAAGCCACTGTTATCATTTTGACTTGTTTTTTTCCAAAAGAAAAAAATCAAATACAGTGATTACTGTAACAACACAAAAAGAGGATTCCCATAGTAAAGCCTTTCCTCTTAAATTTGTATCTAGCAAAACTCATCTTATAAGGATATTTTAAAGGTAGTTAGATTTAGGTTGTTGGTATAAAACACCAAAAACAGTGTTTATAGAGAAAATTATCTAAAAAACAGACATTAACAATAAACCAAGTGATCACAATGGAATTATGCAATCAGATTGTTCCATTGAGCTTTTCCTTTTGCAAAACTGTTAGCCTGAAGAATTTTCTTTCAGATGCATCTGCCTAGCACCAAGATGGGGCTCTAAAGGTGTAGTATGAAACACTTCTAAGAAAGTGAATGATGTGTGAGCTTTTTTTTTTCATTTGCTTCAAAGTAATTTACTTTAAAAAATTAACATCTGCTATTTTGAAGCTAATCTTGGTGTGTTGTATGCTCTTAACCATTTCTCAATCCCACAGTCTTTTATCTTGCTTCTCCTGCTGTGTTCCCACCACCCCTGATCCCATTAGCAAACCTTAAGACAGCCTCAGACTTACCAAAGTACTGCTTTGGTTTCAGCTGCTCTTCTGCAAGAGGAAGTGAGTGTTGGGGGTTTCTCTGTGGCACGGTTGTGATAAAGCTGTGGTGGTCTTATCTCTCTCTTAGGTAGTGGCTCTTTATGACTACACAGCCAGCCGATCAGATGAACTAACCATCCATCGCGGAGACATTATCCGAGTGTTTTTCAAAGATAATGAAGACTGGTGGTATGGCAGCGTAGGAAAGGGGCAGGAAGGTTATTTTCCAGCTAATCATGTGGCTAGTGAAAGTAAGTTTTATGCTCCCTTCCTGGTTTGCTCAAATGGTATAACTGATGGTCCACGATTTTATCATTTTCTGCCTTTTAATTTACTGTCTTTATAATCTTTGTATGTATTTCACAGTGTATATTACTTTTCATTCACACGATGTAAAAAATAAAAAGACAAGGCAGTAGTATGCCAGAAAGCTACTAGGTTCTGAGATTGGAGTATTTGCTGATTGCACTTGTCATCCCAGGGGATCTGCCCCTCAAGCTACCTATTTTCTTCTTCAGCTCCTTAACTGCCACCTGCTGCACACAGTTTTGTCAGCTTCTTTCTTGCCACATTGACTCTTTAGCCACCATCTTAAAGAGTCTCTAGGTCCCAAGTCCCACTTTCCACTTTATACAATAGATTGTTTCATTCTCAAGTACATTAAAAATGAACTAGAGAGAAATCCTAAATAAGAGTTTTGGAAAGCCAAAGATTCACTATTAGGCCTTGACAGTCTGAAAATGAAGAAAGTAATTTAATGCTAAAGGTTTTTATAGCAGTGTTTCTTCAGAAGAGTGCATTCTATCTCTTGATAGCATGTTAGGAAAAGCACGATACTCACATCAGGAAAAACAGCTTTTAATCCTTGCTCAGCAACTTACACTGATGTGCCTCAGTTCCCTCCAATGAAATAAAGACATTGAGCTGTATCAACTGAGCTTTCTTCCAAAAACACGAAAACCTTGTGACTCTGATTTAAAATGTGCTAGAGAACACTACATGTTTTAAACATTTATTTTTGCAACTAAATATTTATTAAGCATAAAGGCTGATTTTCAAACCAGTCCATGAAACCATATTTAACCCAAACCATGACTGAACCAAAGTACTCTTGATTCCTTATCTAAATTCTGAATTTTGAGAGCAAAAAAGATCTAGAAAAGGAGGAAGGAAAATTTCTTCCTTGATTACTCAGTGCTGGGCTAGATTAGATAAAATTGCTTCTCTTTGGCACCTTCCCTCTACCCTGCCTACCCTCTGCTCCTTCCCAGTGCTCCTCTCCCAAGTCTCTCAGGTGGCCCCAAATCTTCTGCAGCTCTCTTCCTTAGCTTCTCTACTGCCTGAAGCAAACTCCTCCCCTTAAAAGTGCTAAATGAGGCAAAAATTTCCCGTTTCTCTCTCCCATTACATAATTCTTCATTTTCTCTGTTTTAGTTATTTTTCTCTAAGTAGTGACTACTATCTCTTAATCTCTACTGGAGGTATATTTTTTGTTTAGAAGAGAATCCATAACAGAGGAAACTTAAGGGACAGTAGAAAGAAGAAACTTTTAAGACAGATAATTCCCTGGTAGACAAAAGACAGCATTTAAGTAATCTCCCATAAGCTCAGCACTTCTGACTTCCTGATTGTCAAAACTTCTAAGTTACTTGCCCTCCTTCCAGTGACGGCTCCCCCTCAGGATCAACAGCTAAAACTAAGCAGGGATAGCTTCTGTTTCTATATCAAGAGCTGCCACACAGTCAGTAACCTGAAGGATGTCTGTAACTAACTAGGTATGACAGCCCGTCATACCTAGTGAAAACATTCAGACTTTTTCTACTGCACTGTCCAGGCAGGGTGGTATTGGGTGCTTTAACTTTAGTTTGTAGAAATAATTTCTTAGGCTTGCCAATTTGGAGAGGCTATAAATATTTGATTGATTGTGAATTAAATATTTTTTCTTTCCTAATAACCAAAGTCATACCTGAAACAATTGCAACGATGACTGATGACTATGTACAGAATTAATTCCTTGTCTCAAGTAGTGACCATCCTGTAAATGACAATTCCTTATCATGTCCCAGAATAATTGATGCTTTCTTTTGCCATCGATCACTGCTTCTTGAAATAGCCATGTAAAGGCAGAACAAACAGGAAAAAAATCATACAGTACCTGAGAATATAATGATCGAATTCTCATACTTCATCAGGGGTCATTTTCCTTCGTTTTATCCTACTTGTTACCTGAATTTAACAAAAATCCAAACTGCCCAGTTTTAACTTTAGAGAAAAAGCAACTCTCAGCAGTATATTCCACTCTTTAAATTGTATGAAGAATTGTCCTTGATCTGTATTTGAAGCCAAATATGCAAAGCAAATGAAGGGAATGAATATAGATATACCTGTAGAATCTCTACCCACTGTTCCATTGAAAGTCATGTACTTTAATAGAACAGCACAGTGGAAGAACATGGTTATAAAGGGCTTATTCTCTTTGTATCTTCAGCCACTAGAAAGAAAAACATGATCAGTTTTCCCTAATCATATCTAACACCCTTCTGTGTAGGACATAAAGAAACCTAATAATACCAACCCACTTACAGAGCCAGTTAATATATCTCGTATCATGTTAGTTATATAATTAATTTTGATTAAATATATTTTGGGAATTTCTCTTAATTCAGAGTTGTTGTAACTAAAATAGATTTTCTTTTTAACTCTTTAAGATTCCCTAATAGAACACCTAAGAGACCAGAACAGGAAGATCTTATGTTGAAGACCAGCCTGGCCTACATAGGGAGACACTGTCTCAAAAAAAAATTTAAAAACCAAAATAATAAGATTCCCATACGGCTTTTTAGATTCAATATCCTATAGAATATATAGATTATAATCTTGGATTATGAAAATCTTAGGTTCAACACTGCATATAGATATTTCACTCTGTCTTCCCAAATTAACCTTTTTCCACGCTTACACCTGGCAAAATTCTACCTAGTATTCAGTCTGTCACACCCACTACTTCCGTTCAGCATTTTCCATCTCCATAGCAATTTGTCTTTGTCATCAATTCTGTCAAATAATGCCATGCTTTGTTTCTTTACAGTTGCTTGTCAACAGGTCTGTCTGTGACCAGAGTGTAAGCTTCTTGAGAGCAAAGACTGTCTTTTAATCATCTTCATATCTCCAGCAGTTCCTATCAGATAACTCTGCAAACAGCAGGTTCCCAATAAATGTATATGAGAGAAATAAAATAAGCATCTATATGTCCACATAGTTAATGAATTGATACCTGATGTCTTCTACATTTCTGAAATCTTACTGATTAAAATTTTCCAATCATAACCAATGGGTAAGACTACAAATTGTCATAACCAGTACTATTAACAGCTATTTGCTGTAACAAATAGTTTGTTACACCAAGGAACTGAATATCATTTTCTCTTAAATTTCTTATCAGCCCCTCCATCATTATTTTTTCTTCTATGGAGCAGTGCTTCTTAATTTAGTTATATGAACTCCTTTTTCAATTCCAGCACTATATCAAGAATTGCCTCCAGAGGTAAAGGAGCGATCACCTCCTTTAACTCCCAAGGAAAAACCTAAAACAGAAAAACTTTCTTCAGCTTCTCAAAAGGTAAATGTTTACAAGAATGTATGTTGCTTATGTACTTTGATTTTTTTTCACTCTTTCTGTGTAAAATATTCCTTTATTTTTCATGCTTACAATCCTCCACTGTTCACATTATTATATCTTTTGACCTCGGCACCAACATAAAATATGTAAGGCAAATGTTATTGCAACCATTTTTCAGATAAGGAAACTGAGGAGGCTCAGAGAGGTTAAAGTTAGACACCCCCGATCTGAGTCACAGCATAAGTGATGGGACAAGGACCCAACGTGGAACTTTTAAGTGTGATGCTATTTCTATTCTATACTTGTATCTGCAACTGTGATACTGATACTGCTTACCAGCACCCCTATCTTCCTCCCCTCCCCAGCCTCTGTAGATACACATTTATGCCAGTGGTTACTGGCATCTACAGGGTGAAGATGCTCTGTCTTCCTGGAGCATTCCTCTTACTTGTCAGTATCTAAACATTTTCAAGGTAGGATGAATGTGGATATATTATCAACTAAAGAAATATCATGTATTTTAGTCTACAACATCCATTCTCTCAGGACATCAGTCAGTATTCTCCTGCTGTTAGTAATACTTTGGTAGAAAAGTTTAATAACCACCATATTGTCATATATATTGCTTTTTAAGCTTGTTCTATTGTGTGTCATTAGCTTTTGCCTTAGAATGAGCAGCCTCGCTCTTCTTGATAATGAAATGACAGATCTTAAAATGTCTTGCATGCATCATTACAATAATAATGAAGATTTTTGACAGTTGAAGCTGTCATATGCCATTCAGCATGTATGTATGTATTGAGTTCTTACTTGCATGATGAGCATTCTCTTATTCCCCATATAAACAGGCATGACTAGGCAAGGCATTTGCCCTCAGGGAGCCTACAGGCTTATGGTTGGTGGTGAGACACCTGTAAGCAAGCAATTCCAACAGACTCTGGTGGGAACTATATGTACACAATGTATTAGGAGCATATCGGATGGAAGCCTTTAAATCTCCCTTGGGAAAGGCCAGGAAAAACTCTCAGAAGAGAAAATGCTTGCCTGAGACTTTTAGAATAAAGAAGTACTGGGGGAAAAAAATCCAGCAGAGGGATAACTTGAGTAAGGCATTGTTTTTGTCAGGGTATGTGTTGTAATAGAATGATAGGAAAACTGTAGGAGCTGTGTCACAGACAGCCTAGAGTACTCTGCTCAAGTACTTAGATTTTATTCTCCAAAGAGAATTCCCTGAAGGAGGTAGCCCAGGAAGTGATAGGAAAAGATCCACATGCTTAAAAGATGGTTGGATTAGAGCTAGCTAAAACCTCATACAAGGAAATCAGTTAGGAACCCACAGAAATAAAATAGAAAAGCCTGAACTAACTGGGGGGAGAGGGAGGGGATATAAGCTGTAATTGCCAGGATTTTATGATCATTGGCTATGATTAGTGAAGTTAGAATTTAGGATTTTTCTAAGGGCCCTGGCTTACTGTACAACTGAATAGATGGTGGTACTGTAAAATAAAGAAATGAGCTAGGACAATTTGGGGAGATAAATACAATGGAAGGGGGGGAGTAGAAGATGAGTTCAGTTTTAGATATCTCAATTTGTTATTAGTATCCTAAGTGTTCCCAGGTAGATTCACAAGGGGTCAGAAATGCAAGACTGGAATTTGAGAGAAAGTTGACCTCCAAAATCAAATAAAGAGGAGTCGATGATTAACTGTATTTTATTAGTAAATAGAAGCTTGTGATGAAAGCAGTAATCTAGAAAAAGTGTTGTCAAATTTAAGAGAAGGCCAAACCCATTTGAACACTTGTATTAAGGGAACTCAAAGGATAGGTAAAAGAAAAGAAAAACACTAGAAAAAAGAAATACCTGGAAGCTAGAAGAGAAAGGTTCAAGGAAAGTGTAGACAAAACATCTAAGAACTTAGGTTATCTAAGCATTTGGTAATCACTAGTAACTGCACTAGTAGCAGTAGAGTAAAGAGGATTAAATGGTAGCGTAAATGTTGAATGGAGGCTCAACATGTGAGCTCATGGAAGTCATTCTCAAAGCTTCACTCCGAAGAATAAAGAAAGATTAAACAGTGATTGGAAGAAGACCTAGTGTTTAAGAATGACTTTTTTAAAATATTGGTGCGATACATAATTATATATGAAGGAAATAACGCCAGTGGACCAGTTCAAGAAAACTAAAAGACATCACGAACAGAAGGAAAGTTTGGCTTAGAGCAGTGGTTCTCAACTGATTTTGTTTCCCAAGGGACATTTGGCAATGTCTGAAGATATTTTTGTTAGGTACAAGGAAGGGGATTCTGTGATATCCAGTGTAGAGAGGACATGGATGTTACTAAACCTAGAGTGCAGCAGATAGCCCACCTCAACAGAGAAATATCTGGCAAAATATGTCATCAGTGCTGAGCTTAGAGCAGTGCCCCCTCAGACACGTGAGAGTGTATGGGGACAGGGATAACTAGATAAAATGGAAATCTGAAAATTAAGGCTTTTTTTAAGTTCTCTAAAACAGAAAGCAGGGTCCACTTCTAATGTCAGGGGCAAAGGAGTGAGATAGGAGCTCAAGAGAAAGAGCAGCTATGTGAATACCCAAAGTTGGAGCAAGAGATCATTTGGGACATGTAAAAAGAACTCTGAGTAGTTCTGGGAGCTGCTGTTGGGATACCATAAAAATCTAGGTGGCACAAAACTATGTAGTTGTTTTTTTTTTTTTTTTCTTCAATAGTGCTCAGCATCTAAAGCATAGTGAAAGAAAAGGCACATTTGGTTTGAAATAGAATTGAAGTTTGTGAGATACAAGAACAGGAGACTTGATAGCCTTGGTAAGAGAGTCACTGAATCCATTGTAGAGGACCAGCTAGATGGAGAAGACAGAGAAGTAAGAGAAGATTAGAAGACTTAGAAAGCCAGATTCTCTGCAGTGTTGCAGTAAATTCCCATTCCCAGGTGGAAGCGTAGAGTCATTCAGCTAGCAGTCAACAATATTTCAAATATGAAGTACTCCTAAGTATAATAAATTATAATGTGTATGAGAGCCAAAGTAAAATTGGGGGCACATTATTAGAACTGAGCAGTTCAAGGAATTAAGACCCAGTGTGTTTGATAGATTATACTGTTGAATAGTAAAATTCCAAGGTGATAACAAGTTGAAACTGGTGATAACCAGAAGAAACTGGTGAAAAAAGAGTTGATACCCTTTGTGTTAATGCAAAGTTATTAACATTGGCTTCATGTTGAAATCACCTAAGGAATTAAAATAAAAACTGATGACCATCACTACCCCACCAATTCAGTTAGTCTAGAATGGAACCTGAGCATGGGCAAATTTCAGAAGTTTATCTGGTGATTTTAGTGTGCAGTCAGCATTGACAGCCCATAGTGTTAGAGTGAACACAAGGTCTGAAGGTAGCAGCTGAAAAACTAGAGGGTGTTATAGGCAATTATCAAAACTCCCAAGAAGTACTTTGGAAGAACAATTGCCTAAAATTAACAGCAGAAAGCTAAGAGCAGGCCAGTGTTATTAACTCCTGGCTCCTATAGTCATGGTTGGATACTGCGAGAGTATAGCCTATGCAGCAAAGAACTGAAAGAAAAACATTTTCTTGGTAAAACAAGTTTCAAATATAACAAGGACATATGTGATGGCTACCATCAGCAGTATGTGACCACATGGGATACAGCCAAAAGAACTTGCAAGGAGTTTGACTATGGGAAAATATGGCATGTATAATATTACCCATTATTTGCAATTTACACCAGATTTACAAATTTAGGCAGGTTTTTGTCATAGTTTAGGCTGTTATAACAAATATGCAATAGACTACCTAGCTTAAACAACAAAGATCTATTTCTCAAAGTCTGAAGTCTGGGAAATCTGGTGTCAGATAAGAGTTCACTTCCTGGTTTGAAGCTTCATTGCATCCTCACAGGGCAGAGGACAGAGAGAGGAATCTCATGTCTGTTTTTATGAAAGCACTAATCTCATTCATGAGGGTTTCGTTCTCATCAACGATCATTATGAGGGTTAGAATTTCAACATATGAATTTTGAGACGGCATAAGCATGTAGCTCACCTAAATTTACAACCTAAAAAAACATTTAATGCAGTGAAAGCATTTATCATTGGCATGGGGAGTCATTTTGACAGCTAACAGCACTTTCAGTCAACATCAAAAACTGGGGCTGGCAGAGTGGCTCAAGCAGTAAAACACCTGTCTAGCAAGCACAAGGCTCTGATCTCAAACCCCATTATTGCCAAAAAAAGGAAAAAAACCTGTATGTGATGCTTTAAAAGATATAGTGTTCACTATCGTAATTTGCTGGTATCCCTGATTCTGCATCATGCTGACCATGATTGAAATTGAGGCTCTCTCATCCCCAATAACTGAGAATCAATTCTCCATCAGCCAGAGGAGATAAAAGGAACTCTCAGTGTATTATTGGCTACCTGTAAAGTTGGTATTACACTTCTTCCTGATGTACCTGTGTTCCTAAGGATAGAGCTCTTGTATATGTTTCTAAGACTTCCCAGTTCTCACTTCCTGTCCCCTTCTTAGATGGACTTACTCATCTTAGTTTAGACGATAGTGGATTTTTTAAATTTGGTGTAGTTTTTTCCCCTTACAGACTGATCTCCATGCTTTAGACATACCATTATATTCATCTAGCAGACTATTCCTTCAAATAGCCAGTTTATCCCTTAAGATCTGTTTCAGGCTCATTTCACTGATCCCCTAATTCCCATAGATCTTAAAGAACGCGTAGATTTCTTTTGTTGAAAGATATGATTTAATCTACTTTATCTGAATCCTACAGAGTGCTGGGGATATAGCTCAGTGGTAGAGCACTAGCATGTAGCATGTGTGAGGCTCTGGGTTCAATCCCTAGTACCACCAAAAAAAAAAGAAAAGAAGTAAGGAAGAAAGAAAGAGAGAAGGGAGGGAGAGAGAGAGAGAGAAAAGGAAGGAAGGGAAGGAGGAAAGAAGTCCTGTATATAT